CTCTCTCTCTCTCTCTCTCTAATGACCACTAAGTTTGATTCAGATTCTTTGTGTGAACATGGGGTGATGGATTAATTCCTGGAGCATGGGCAGTTATTTTTTTCTTGGCTTTCTAAGCCATGGTTTCACTGTGTATCCTGGGATGCCTTGAACTTACTTTGTAGTTCAAAGTCTTTTCAAACTTGCAGCAATCCTCCTGTCTCAGCTATTGCATCCTGGGATTTTTCCATCTGGTAAGGGGGGAGGGATGGCCTCTTTTCACTTTTCAGTGTTTGGAAATTTTCAGACTGGAATTAGATCTCATCAGTTAATAAGTTATACAGTAAAGCTGGGGACATAGCTCAGTGATAGTTGGCCTGAGCTTGTTTTGAATAGGAATGTAAAATCGGAACTTCTCAACAATTAATTTTTTTGTTCTTTGATTTTTTTTTTTTTTTTACCATGTGTACATGGTTTTTTAGTTTTTTGACTTTGTGTTTTCTAAGAGTTTTTCATCTAGTTTCTAGGCTTTTTTTTTTCTTTTGAGTCCTTTTAATTTTTTTTTTTCTGTGTAGCTTCATTTACCATTCATAGCACAGCTCAAATGGAACTGTCATGCTCCGTCAGTGAAATGGACTTTCTGCTTGGGAGCAATTTATATATCCTTTTCTTCCATTGACAGGACACTGCGTGACTAAACCTGAGTTGATCTTCAGGTTGGAGCATGGATTTGGGCCGTGGAGCATAGGAGAGACCTCACTCTGGAGTCTCCCAGGTCAGTGCATGTGAACTAGGGAAGGAAATGCAGCAAGGATGACTGCTCAGAGGATATCGGTCATGTTGAGCTGTCTTTACCAACATTCCAGTAGTAGCCTAGGCAACAACTAGTTTTGTCTGTCAGGCAAATACTTTATGCAGTTTCCAAATGGGGATCTCTGTGTCAGTCCGACATCTCCTTATTTTTGTTGTTGAAACCTGTTTTCCTAAATTTGCTAAAAAAATATTCATTTTTGTATAGGTTATCTCAGTTGTCCTTCCCACCTTGTTTGATATTGAGGGTTTATTTCAGTGCTTGGTCTTGATCTGACATTTTCATAGCAGTCATTAACATTCGAATGCATCTTTTGAAGGGATTACATTCAGTGAGAGGAAAGTGAATGATGCAGTAATGTACCACAAATGAGATAAGAAATGCCAAGCATATTTACCCTGAGGTAAAAACACATGGACTCTTATTTTAGGAAAGGTATAAAGTAAGACACTATTGAAGAATTATTCATTTATTTTAGTTTAGTGTGGTGGTTACTCTTTTTAAATATTTTGAACTAGCAGCACTTGGGAAGCATAGTCAGGCAGGCAGATCTCTGAGTTTGAGGCCAGCCTTGTCTATAGAGCAAGTTCCAGGACAGCCAGGATATGAATTGAAGACAGTGTGATTAGAATGAGGAAAGAAATTTGGAAATTGGTGGCATAATGAAAATCAATTGTAGAATATCTTTTTAAATTAGGAAAGAATGGGGCCGGGAGGTGTGATCTTTAATCCCAGCACTTGGGAGGCAGAGCCAGGCTGATCTCTGTGAGTTCGAGGCCAGCCTGGCCTACAGAGTGAGTTCCAGGACAGACACCAAAACTACACGGAGAAACCCTGTGTGTGTGGGGGGGGGATTAGGAAAGAACATATCGGAAGTTTAAGAATAGGATGGCAGGTAAAACTTGTTTTTTTTTTACCACACTAACACATGGATGCTCAGTGTCAGAGTCACAAAGGAGAGAATGTTTTCCAAGGAGAACGAGAGAGAAAGAGTACTTGGGATCAAGAAGGAGGTGACAGGACAGTATACACTAGAAGACAAAAGTCATTTTCTCTCTTTTTGAGAAAAGTGCACCACAGGCTACAGGGGTTTCTCTGTGAAACAGTCCTGGCTGTCCTGGAACTCACTTTGTAGACCAGGCTGGCCTCAAACTCACAGAGATCTGCCTGCCTCTGCCCCCTGAGTGCTGGGATTAAAGTCATGTGCCGTCACTGCCCGGCTCCACTTTTAATCTCAAATCCCGAGTGAATGAGCTGAATGTTACAACTAGGTAATAACCGTAATGTGCAAAGTGCCACCCTGCTACCACAGACTGGCCTTCTTTGTCATGAGAGAAACCTATGATACGGGCAAGTGTTAATCCAGAAAGTGACTGGTCTGACAGTGTCTTAAAGATTTTGCCATAATAAATTGCAAAACAAATTAATTGCATTTATCCACCTACGGAATGCTGTATCAGGGGCCTGTCTCATCCACTCTTGGGGCATGATCACTAAGATCAGTCAAAACTCAGGAGGACATGCTGAAAGTTTCTATGTAGTAGGTGGGAAACAAGAGGTAGCCATGGAAACTCACATGGTAAGATGCAGGCTCCTTAAGAAAGGATCATGGAGTGTTAGGAATGGAGTGTTACCTTTCTAGTGAGGAGTATGCCCATTCCTCATTGAGTGGCAGAGAATAAGAATAGTGGGCCCAGAGTTGGCCAGTTGGTTGACCTCTAGACCATTTTTCCACCTCCCTAGGTTTACTGTACCTTGGAACTAAAAGATTGGAGCCCACGGACAATAGTTCACTAGGTTTTCACAGCTTTCTTCTTACTAGAATGTGCTGTTTATTGAGCTCCAAAGGACCTGAGCAACACAAAATCTCCTTACCCTCTGCTCTAAAGGCTAACTGCAGAGACACCTCATATATGGAAGTTTGCTTTCCATCAATGAGTATAGAAATACTGACATTTCCAAAAAAGTCATATGGTGTCTGGCTGACACTCAAAGGCTTGAGCACAGCAGTGACTCCCTTATGCTGATATATAGTTTTCATCATTAAATTCAAGCTTGTCACAAACATAACCTTGTTGGGTGAAGTCTTTAGCTAGTATATAGATAATACTAACAGGTAAAGTGGGAACAGAGAAATTAATGTTACTCCTCAGCTATTACCCAGCAACCCCATCAGCCTGCTGGTGAATTCCAGTAATAGTGGACATGGATGAAATTCTTCCCCAGTGCTTTTTTTATTTTTTTATTTTTATTTTTCTATTTATCAGACATTTTTAGTATTATTTGTATCCCAGTTAGGGTTACTATTGCTATGATGAAATGCCATGACTGAAAGCAAGTTGGTGGGTAAAAGGATTTATTTGACTTATACTTTCATATTGTAGTCCATCACTGAAGGAAGTCAGGACAGGAACTCAGGCAGGGCAGGAACCTGGAGGCAGGAACTGATGCAGAGGGCATAGAGAGATTCTACTTACTGACTTGTTCCTCATGGCTTGCTCAACCTACCTTGTTACAGAACCCAGGACTGGCACTGTCCACAGTGGGCTGGGCCCTCCCCAATCAATCACTAATTAAGAAAATGCCCTATAGCCAGATCTTATGGAGACATAAGATTCCCTCCTTTAGATGACTCTATCTTGTGTCAAGTTAACATAAAACTAGGTAGCACGTTTTGACTTATTTTATCCTTTTGAAGTCTCTGATGTTTGTATTTTTATTTCTCCTTGTTCCTTTTTATACTTTTATTTACCCTTTTTTATATTTGACTATCAGATTCTGTTCTCTGGCTTTTTAACCTTTGCTACATTCCTTTTTTCCTTTTTTAGTCCTTTTAACTTTTTTTTCATTAATCCTGCTTATATTGTCCTCCTTAATTTTAATGTCACAAATTGTTCTGCATGTTTAATTTTTTTCCTGTAGTTACTGATAGTGTTTTGTCTGTTTAAATGTTTTTAACATTATGTCTATGTCTGATTTGTTTTGGTGTTGTTCTTTTAGCATTTTAATTTCTCTCTGAGTGGTGTCAGGAGTTGAAGCCACAGGTGAAGGCTGCTAAGAAGACCCTTTTTATAAGATGAGGGGTGCTTTTGATCCCCATTCTTCCAAAATGGCAGTCAGTGGCACAAATGTGCCTAATATGCATTGCAGCAAGCAGGCAAACAGTGATAATTATTGGAAAAACTAAGACATCTCCAATAACTGATTCTGAGAATTTTGAGTGGAGTGTCAGGTATAAAATGCAAAAGTACGGTTTTAGCAATGATCCACGCACTAAAATAATATTTACATAAATCAATGAATAGAGCTCATCTAATGCTTCTGTGACAGATTCAGTGACAGTGATCACGACATAAAATACCAACCTAAATAACTGAAGAAAGAAGCTCGGTAAGTCAAGCCTTCATTGGAAAGCAGCATTCATTGGAGTAGACTGTATAGGATGAAGAACGTCAGGAATGAAGAGAAGGTGGAGAAATTATTGTAGTGAGAGAACTCTATAAGAAAAGGAAGAACACTCATGATTATAAAATTTAAGCCCCCTGGGCTGTGATAAAGAGGTGCAATCTATGACTCTGTGGTATAGAACAGAGAAATGGGAGACACAGAAAGACACAGAAAATATAATCCATAAAATAGAGTTAAATTTATATTATTTATATATTATTAAAATATTAATATATTATATATATTTACAAATATCTAGAAAGAATAAAAAAGCAAAACCAGAAAATATACATCTAGGAAAGGAGCCATTCTGAAGCCTGACCAATATAAATTAAAAAAAAAAAAAAAAAAACTTTCTCAAACATGGTTATAGCTACAATGCAGAGTACAGAATAGGGAAAGATAACTTACAGCATAAGAGGCAAGGGCTTCGTTACTATGATGGCAAGCCCATTTAACCTTCTGGATCTTTTAGCTGAAACCCTGATACCAGAAAGCATGTGAGTTCATGTGTACAGTGACTCTTTTATATCTAGAAAATGCTGTTTAATAATAGTCATACACTACTTCTGGCCTTAAAATCTTTTTTCCTCTTCTTCCATGGTGATCGCTGACCTTTGGGAGGAAGGTATATGGACACTCTGGAAAATGAAGGTTGAAAGCTGTACTAATCTATGAATGTAAAGATAAGTACTTAGGGGGCTGTTTCATATTATAATTATTTAGTAGAAAAATAGAAGTAGTTTGTGGTTCATAGATTGTGACCTACGCAGCCATAGGTTCTTGACCCAATTATCAGTACCAGGCATGAGTTCTGTCTTATGCTGTGGGTCTTAACTCCAATTAGAGTGGTTGGTTACTCCCATAAATTTCATGCCACTATTGCAAAAGTAGGCATATCTTGTTAGGCCATTCATTATTGTAGTTCTCGGGGTTCACAGCTGATTAAGACTGTTAATTACTGTTTTCTCCCAGTGCTGTTATAGCATTTCCCAGGACTATGAAAGCTATCTAGTAGGGACGAAGCTTCCAGATCAGTATCAGCTTGGTTTCTCTATGTCCTATAATTGAAGTATGAAGTGTCTTCAGAAATGGGATTTTACCATTAAGTTCTGGAGAGTAACTAAGAGCAGTAGCAATGTCTTGTAATGTTGGGACAATGGCAGTCTTTGCGACCACACTGCCAACACCTTAAAAATAGATAATCTCAATGTACTGAGCATTTTGTTCAATAGCTTATGGTATCTGAGGCATTTTCTCCCATGTAGGGTAACTCCATTTTGTCTGTCTGTCTGCCTATTATCAAAAGTGTCTAAAGTAGGTTTCCATATGGTGTTTTAAAAGGTCTTTAGTGTTATCTTTCCCTATATGCTCCCTCCTGTCCTCGTCCTTTTACTCTCAACCCACTGAATCCTACTTGCACAATATTTCCCTCTTACTCCTTTATAACACTGTGTTATATCCTCCATGCCCACCTGCCCATGGCCTATTTTTAGTTTTCCTGACTTCTACAGGTCCTCTAATTTAAGTACACACATCTAAAGATTCAAAAGCCAGGATCCACATATGAGAGAGAACATGAGTTGTCTTTCTGGATTTGGGTTACCTCTCTTAGAATAATTTATTTCCAGCTCCATTTATTTACCTAAAAAGCTCATAATTTCATTTTTTATGATGCAATAAAAATTTTCATTTTGTGTGTGTGTGTGTGTGTGTGTGTGTGTGTGTGTGTGTGTGTGTTTATTTGTACCATATTTTCATTATCCATTCATCAGATGATGGACACCTAGGCTGTTATTTTAGTGTCCTGACTTTGAACAGTAAGGTATGTGTGTGGTAACCACCAGCACTTCAATAAGAAGCTTCTCTGATAAAGTTTGAGGGGAGCACAGATGTAGAGATGCAAACATAAATGTTGAGTATGCAGTTTGATAACATGACCATTGCTAGCAAGACAATAGGTTCTCTTGAGGACTATGACTTCCCTAGTGTTGGATTTTGATAAGTTATGTACATAGTTTTGTACAGTTGATGTACAGTAAAAGTCATCTAAAAATGTGTACTTGACATTATCCACTATGTAAGGCACAAACCAATCTGGATTTGCAACATAATCATTTCTTAGCATTTATTTTTAATAAATGGCTTATTTTAAAAATCATGTTTATGTCTAAGAGACAATAGAGATTTATATAACAGAAGACTGATTGCAGGAAACTTTTGAAGAACCTGTCCTCTAGACTGGGAGAAAGGTGATTGCATAAAATGACCAATAAAGGATGCTACTCCGGCTTTTCAGGGCAAATTAAACAAATTTATCACACATGTATCATAATCCTTTTACAAACCTACATTTTTGGTCATGACGCAGAATGTGAAACCTGTATCATGTGGATGTATATTGAAAGAAAATCTTCCCGCCTCGCATAATGAGAGAGATTTGATGTCAAATGGTGTTTGTACAATTAAGGTAACCGAGGACTGGAGCTCAGGCTAACAGCAGCAGCTGATCATTAGTATTGTAGAAACAGTAGCTGAGAAGTAGGCGGATAACCTTTTTCCATTCATTTCACAAGAGTGAAAGCAGTGACGGAACATAACATAGCACCGCCTTATCTTTTTGTGTAGAACTTCCCTTAAGCTGAAGTATCTACTGTCTGGTTTTATTCAAACTGAATAAACAATGTATATGATTTATGGATAATGATATTTTAACATATCATTTCAGGTGTTCTTGAAGTTTATGCTCCAGATAAGAGTTGCCTAGAAAATCTCGAGAGTCATATGTGGCCGGTAGGAAGCATCAGCAGGAATCTGTCAAATAGAGAGATGCTTGAAGTAGGTAAAACATGATTGTGAGCACAACCTTTACATTTTAAATCTGGATATAAGGTGTAGAATTTTTTTCCTAGGGCCCTAACCTCTGGTTGAATGTGTCTATAGTGAGCCTAATCTGATGCTGATTAGTGAAGAAGCTGATAATATAACTGATAAGTCCCTCTGGCACCCTGAGCATCTTGGTCTCCCTAACAAGTTTGAAAGTTCACATTATAATGTTCAAACTATTTGACCAGGGATATACATCTAAACAAAGACAGTTATAAAAAAATGTTTGATATTTTAGAAACCTCATTTCATGCATTGGAAATCTTCTATTTGCATAACACTTACTGTGCAAAACGTATGTCATGAAAGAAAAATATTGCATGTAACAGGACTCAGAAAAGAACATGGTAAACTATGGACTGAGAGATAGCTGAGGCATTAAGAACATGAGCTGTTCTTACACAGGACACAAGTTAGGTTCCCAGAACACAGGTCATGCAGCTCTTCACCACCTATAACTCTAGCTCCAGGGGAATATGACACCTCTGGCCTCTGGGGACACCTACACCTGAATGCAAATACCCTACATATATATGCATAATTAAAAATGTTTTTTTAAATAACAGACTTTACACTGGGGAAAATTACATATGCACTTTTTGTAAAACTTTTAAGAATTTATTAACCTCACAGAACATTAAGTACATGCTAGAAGTAGCCCCACTGATATAAAACCTTGATATATTCTTTTGTCTCAAGGCAGAAATGAAGGTTCAGCTGGAACTCCATCAAGGTATAAAACCCTATGAAGGTAAACCATGTATGAAAACGATTAACCTGCCAGCACAGCACAATAAGCAGCATGAATATTATTCAAGTATGAAACCCTACGAATGGAAGGAATGTCAGAAAGCTTTCTATTGTAAGTCAGCGCTCACTGAACATCAGAGAACTCGTACAAGATTGAAGATCTATCAGTGTACAGAATGCAGGAAAGCTTTCCCCTCCAAATCAGAACTCACTGTACATCATAGAATTCATACTGGTGAGAAGCCCCATGAATGTGAAGAATGTGGTAAAGCTTTCTATCGTAAGTCAACTCTTACTGTACATCAGAAAACTCATAGAGGTGAGAAACCTTATGAATGCAAGGAATGTTGGAAAGCTTTCTATTATAAGTCAACCCTCACCGAACATCAGCGAATTCATACAGGTGAGAAGCCTTATGTATGTAAAGACTGTGGCAAAGCTTTCTTCTACAAGTCAAACTTAACTCGCCACAATAGAACCCATACAGGTGAGAAGCCTTATGAATGTGAAGAATGTAGGAAAGGTTTTTCCTCCAAGTCAGAGCTCACCTCACATCATAGAACTCATACAGGTGAGAAGCCCTATCAGTGTGAAGAATGTGGTAAAGCTTTTTACTGCAAGTCAACCCTCCGTGTTCATCAGAAAATTCATACAGGTGAAAAGCCTTATGAGTGTAAAGAATGTCAGAAATCTTTCTATTATAAGTCAACCCTGACTGAACATCAGAGAACTCACACAGGTGAGAAGCCCTATGAATGTAAAGACTGTGGCAAAGCTTTCTTCTACAAGTCACAGTTAACTCGCCATCATAGAATTCATACAGGTGAGAAACCTTATGAATGTGAAGAGTGCAGGAAAGCTTTCTCCTCCAAGTCAGAGCTCACTGCTCATCATAGAACTCATACCGGTGAGAAGCCCTATGAATGTAAAGAATGTGGCAAATGTTTCTGTCGCAAGTCACACTTAACTCTGCATCATAGAATCCATACAGGTGAGAAGCCCTATGAATGTAAAGATTGCCGAAAAGCTTTCTTCTGCAAGTCAGGACTTGCCCGACATCTGGGAACTCATACACATGACACTAATATGAAGAAGAGAGAAAAGCATTTTCCCGCAACTCACAGCTCAGCCAACATCAGAAATGTCATACAAGTGAGGAACCCTGTAAATATAAAGAATGAAGAAAAACTCTCTACTGTAAATCAGTCCTCACTCCATACCGTGGACTTCTTACAGTTGAGAAGTCCTATAGATGTACATGATGCAGGAAAACTTACCTTCGTAACTCATGCCTCATTCAATATGAATGAACTCAGATGAGACACACTAGTAGTTTCGAGCAAGCAAGAAAGCTTGCAGTCAGCCAGGGTCACTTGACATCAGAGAATGCATGCAGAATGATGACAGCAAGGAACATGTGAAAAGGGCCACAAGGGAGACCTTCCTCAACAGCAGAAAAGCCACAGTGGTTTGAGACATTGTGTCTCGAAAGAACATAGGGAAGCTCTACTGTAGTTCTCTCAGTTTGAGCATCTCATGCATATGAAGAAGCTTATGAATTTAAAGGTCAAAAGTTTTGAGTGATACTCAGTTGACATGAGTATACATGCCATGAAGAATCCTGAGAATGTTTAAAAATCTAACGTTATATACTGTAGAATACTGTATATGTACTAACCTTGGAAAACAACCATTTAAGGGACTTTGTTAAAGAACATAGGAAAACTTTGATAAGTCAGATCTCATTCTGCATCAGAACAGTTATATAGGTGAGAGGCTATGTACAAATAAATTTGTCATATATTGTGGTATTTGTTTATGTTCCATGTTCATTGAGACATAGTTGTTCAAGACTAGAAATATCATAGCCTCTGGAACTCGGATAGGCCCAGAGTGTTACAGTAGCATGTATAGAAACGTGGTGTAGTTTAGAAGTGGTGTTGAGGTATAGTGGATGTGACTGTGACACTGTACCTGGTAGGAGGCACTGTCTTGTGGGACTGTTAAAGTGCTCTGTTTTCTTACTCTCATCTGGCAAGAGAAAAGATGGTAGATCTTCTGATAGTTATTTTAATCTGACAGTCACTGACATAGGAGTCAAGAAATTAGCAACTTATTTCCATATCCTCCTCAGAGAAATGATGGCTATGAGTGGTGACAGTTATATCAAATTATGAGCACAGGAGAGACCCAGGTATATGAGGTTTGTACCATACTTTGCAGATATGCAAAGGAATATAGACCTCTGCCTGAGATAAGAAACAAAGTGAGTGTTAGAGCCAGGATCAAATATCCTATCTCAGCGCAGTGGTGGTTTGCACTAGCTCTGCACCATTTTACTTGGGCCAGATACACACAGTCTGAGGTAAAGAAGCAGTGCTGTTTGTGACTGAAGGGAGTCTTCACAACCATTTACCAGCTCTGGCAGAAGAGAATCTAAACAATGGTGGACTGGCTGACTGTCCTCTGAGCCAAGCAAGTGCCATCATGGAGAATTCAGCTGTGCCCCCTTGCAAAAGCTTATCCTAGCTGGGTTTGTTGATGGTTTATACCCTCCTATCCTCCCCCTAGTATCCAACTGCTTCCTACTAACTGGCAACTCTGCAGACTCTGGAGAAAAGATTTAGAGAGAGAGAGAGAGTGTGTGTGTGTATGTGTGTATGTATATTTGTATGTGTGTATGCATGCCTGGGAAGACTAGGGGAGGAGCCATTTACTCTATGATGTTTGGGAAAAACCCAGTTCCTGCTGTGTAAGGCTTTCCAGATGTGGCCCACTGGGGATGGAGTGCCCACACCCTTGTAAGTAACCCTCACCACTCACACTCTCTCTGTAAAGAAGACAAATAAAATAAACTCATTGGTTTATTTGTGAACTTTGTTTGAATCATGCCTTTTTTGCCATTAGGACATTAGGAGGAGAGTTAGACACTGCTTATGTCTCCTCTGGGAAGGAATTTATGCAATATAGAGTCACCATTAGATGAACCCCCAGCCAAGATGAGGCAGTGGCAGCACAAGGTGAGTGTTCCTATGGTAGGTTGGATATCCAGGAAGTTGGGGTGATCCTGTTGATCTGTCATATTCTCTAAATCAAGCCTTTTTCACCTTTCCCCATGTTATTTAGTGATACTCCATTAGAGAGAGTAGATAGCACAAGAAACTTCTATGCTCAGAAAATTACATGCTCAGGTTGATTTGGGGTAAGAGGTACTGATTTGTAAAGTTAACGTGAGATATGTTAAAATATTACTGCCTACTTGAATATATTCCAAGAATTTTAGTAATCCACCCTGACTAACTGGAGTGAGAAAATAAGAGGAAGCCAGGTAAGGGTTCCAGTATCTCCAAATGGTGTATCAAAGAGTGTCTAGCAAATAAGTTAATGAGTTTTCAGTTCAGCAGCTGTCTGGGCCTTGAGTGGGTACCCAAGCACGTGCATTCATCAATACTACTACTGTGATGGCACAGCGTCATCCCTTTGCATGCCACCTTTCTCACTGATCTGCTGATTCTCTATCATTGAATGATGTGGATGTGAGTGGTCCAGGAGTCAGAGCTTTGGGACAAGGAGTCTGCCTGAGCCTTAGGAAGAAGTCTTGAAATCTCAGCACACAGAAAAGCTCCCTTCAGAAGAGTCCGACCTGAGAATATGCTTTGGGGCAGATTGTCTGCTTTATCAGAGTGATGTTATCTTGACAAGATTCAAGCCCCCAGCTATGAAGGTGCTTGAGTACGCAGAAGTGTGAGGTTTTCACTGACTTAGAGTTAGTTTCTAGTGTGGGTAGATAAGAGGTAGCATGTGTCCCTCCTAAATCCAGGAAAAACTAGTGACCAGTAGTACTATGTGAATCCACATTTCCCTAGCCTGGATTTAGAAATTTGCATTTATGATCAGTTCCCATGTTTTCTTATAGAGCCAAAGCCTGACATATAACCACACCTTTTCTGCGCACAGCTGAGTACGCGAGGTCCTGGAAATGATGCAATGGTAGAGCGTATGATAACAGTGATTTGGGGGAATTTGGCCAATAGACCTTGGCTGCCTGCCTCCCTCCGGTCTTACATTGGTTTCATATCTACCATTGGTGCTGGTGACAAGACCACCATGTCTTAGCCACCATAATTTAAGCTCTTAGACTCCAAATTTATTGACTACATATAGTTCTTATACATAACTACCAGTATATTGAGAGAATCATAATGGGTAGATTATAAATGAGCATGTATGTATGACGTACTCATTGTAGAAGTGATGGAAGTACAAGCAGGCTTTTGACTGTATTCTCCAAATATCAGACTGCACAAACTCCTCCAGTTGCCACCTACTTTAATTGCAGGGGTATAAATTTACAACTGTGAAGGTACTCTTAGAAAGAAATACTTTGCAGATAAGTAGGATTGATTCCTACAATCTAGTTGAACAATTTGTAAACAAAATGAAAATGCTCTAGTAAACATTGTCTGCCAGTGTATAATTGGGATCATCAGTATGGACCTATAGTCTTTCTACATTTTAATCAATTTGTGACTGTTTTTCCTCTGCACTTGTGGGGTTTTAACTGAACCAATATTGCTGTATTCTCTTGTGTTATAATCATTCATATGGACATTAATTTCTATATTGTGTCATTGGTAAGAGAATGTCAAATATATTCACAAGTTAATTTTCCTAAATGGATGATTTATATTTAATTTTTCAGTCATGAATATTCACTTATTTTAACTCTTCTCAAGTAGGGTTTTTAAATTTTTTTTAAGTTAAAATACAGTATTATTTTCCCTCTTCCCTTTCCTCCCTACAGCATCTCCCTTGTACTCCCTTACTCTTTCAAATTCATGATTTCTTTCTCCTTAACTTTTGTTAAAGGTGTGTGTGTGTGTGTGTGTGTGTACATGTATGTGTATAAATGAATTATATATATTTATATATTTATACACACATGTACAGCCTGTTCAGTCTACATGTTACTTTTGTGTGTGTGATTTCAGAGTATTGGATAAACAATTGGTATGTCTTTCCTAGGGAAGACTATTTCTTCTGTTAACATTCCTTAGTTGTCCCTAGTTCTTTATCTAGAGTTGGGGTCTTATGAGATTAACCCTCCCCATATTAATATGTGTGTTGATGCTATCTTTTTTAAAGGGATTTTTTTTTTTTTTTGGTTTTTTGAGACAGGGTTTCTCTGTGTAGCTTTGCGCCTTTTCCTGGAACTCACTTGGTAGTCCAGGCTGGCCTCGAACTCACAGAGATCCACCTGGCTCTGCCTCCCGAGTGCTGGGATTAAAGGCGTGCGCCACCACCGCCCGGCATTTAAAGGGATTTTTTAAAATGTGTGTGTATGAGTGTTTTGCTTGCATCTATGTACATACACCACACACATGCCTACTACCTGCAGATACCAGAAAATGTTGGAGCCAGTGGAACCAGAGTTACAAGATGGCTGTGACTAACCATGTGGATGCTGAGAACCTAGGTCCTCTGCAAGAGCAACAAGTACTCTTAACTGCTTAGCCACATGTCCAGCCCATGTCAGTAGTGTTTTAATTTGTGCATTTGCATTGATTTTGTTTTGTTTTTCTAATTTTTAAACATGTTGAGGAGATGATGAATGAACACTTGTATATGTTGTATACAATATAGCCATTCAAGTCTCTTGCCTATTTTGTTCCGGGCTCTCTGGTTTTTTCCCTTCCTTTTCAAAGTAACTGAAAGTAGGGCATGTAGCCCAGTCATGCAGGAGGCAGAGGCAGGTAGGTCTCTGAGTTGGAAGCCAGCCTGGTCTACATAGTTCCAGAACAGCAAGGACTATGTAGAGAGAGACACTGTTTCAACCAAACCCAAAGAAAAGTAGTTGATCTATGTAATGAGATGTGGTTTCTCCTGATGTATTATTTTTCTTTTTACCCTTAGATTATATAATTCATTATATAACTCATATAATGAATTATATAATTAATTATATAATCTAATATCCCCACTCCGACCTATCCTCATCCCCTACTCCAAAAGGGTAAGCACTCTCATGGAGAGTCAGCAAAGCTTGGTACATTCAGTTGAGGCAGGACCAAGTCCCTCCCCCCTGCATCAAGGCTGGGAAACACTTCGCACCATAGGTAATGGGCTCCAGAAAGTCAGCTCATGCACCAGATATAGTTCATGGTCCCACTGCCAGGGACCCTCAAACAGACCCAACTACACAAGTGTCTCCCGTATGGAGAGGGCCTAGTCTGGTTCCATGCAGGTTCCACAACTGTTGATCTAAAATTCCCAAGTTCCTTTGATCTTGGTTTGGTTGTCTCTGTAGATTTCCCCATCATGATCTTGACCCCACTTATTCATATAATCCCACTTCCTTCTCTTCGACTGTACTTCCACAACTCAAGCTGTTGTGGATCTCTGCATCTGCTTCCATCACTTACTGGACAAAGGCTCTATGATGACAGGGTATTCACCAATCTAATTATTGGGGTAGGCCAGTTTATGCACCCTCTCCACTATTGCTTAGTAGTATAAGCTGCGGTCATCCTTGTGGATTCCTGGAAATTTTCCCGGCACCAGTTTTTTTTTTCCTAACCCCATGTTACCCTCTATTAAGATATCTCTTTCATTGCTCTCCCACTCCATCCCTCCAGCTTGACCATCCTGTTCTCTCATATTCTCATTCCCCAACCCCTCCCCTCTATTGGCCCCTTGCCCCCAGTTTACCCATGGAGATCTCATCTATTTCCCCTTCCCAAGGCAATTCATGTGTCCCTGTTAGGGTCCTCATTACCTAGCTTCTCTGGAGCTATGAGTTGTCGTCTGATTATCCTTTGCTTTATATCCAGTTTCCACTTATGAGTAAGTACATACCATGATTGTCTTTCTGAGTCTGGGTTACCTCACTCAGGATATTTTCTAGTTCCATCCATTTGCCTACAAATTTCATGGTATTTTTTTTTTTTTTTTTTTTTTTTTTTTTGTTTTTCAAGACAGGGTTTCTCCGTGTAGCTTTGCGCCTTTCCTGGGACTCACTTGGTAGCCCAGGCTGGCCTCGAACTCACAAAGATTCGCCTGCCTCTGCCTCCCGAGTGCTGGGATTAAAGGCGTGCGCCACCACCGCCCGGCCCATGGTATTTTTTTTAACAGCTGAGTAGTACTCCATTGAGTATATGTACCACATTTTCTTTATCCATTCGTCAGTTGAGGGGCATCTAGGTTGTTTCCAGGTTCTGGCTATTACGAATAATGCTGATATGAACATAGTTGAGCATGTGTCCTTGTGGTAAGATTGAACATTCCTTCGGTATGTACCCCAGAATGGTATCATTGAGGTAGGTTGATTCCCGATTTTCTGAGTAGTTGCCATACTGATTTCCAAAGTGGCTGTACAAATTTGCACTCTCACTAACAGTGGAGGAGTGTTCCCCTTGGTCCACATCCTTTCCAACATAAGTTGTCATCAATGCTTTTGATCTTAGCCATTCTTCTATGATTTTGTTGAATATATTTTCTGGTATTTGAGCTGGTATTATTCTTCTATCCCTATTATTCTTAGGTTTGGTCTTTTCATGGTATCCCAGATTTCTTGAACATTTTATGTTACGACTTTGTTGGCCCTAATGTTTTCTTTCACTGATGAATCTATTTCCTCTATCATATCTTCAGTACCAGAGATTCTCTCTTCCATCTCTTGCATTTTGTTGGCTATACTTGCATCTGTAGTTCCTTTTTGTTCACTCAGATTTTTCCATTTCCAGCATTCCCTCAGTATGTGTCTTCTTTATTGCTTCTGTTTCAATTTTCAAGGCTTGACCTGTTTCCTTCACCTGTTTGATTGCTTTTTCTTGGGTTTCCTGGCTTTTTTAAAGGGGTTTATTGATTTCTTCCATT